TAGATCATCGCGAGATAGACAGAATCGTTTGAGTTGTTTTAGCATAAATAGTTTTCTGTTGCCTTGTTTGACAATATGGTCCACATGTGCAGTCCAACCAAGATCGGCCTGGAGGTACAGACCAAGCAGTTTCACTGTCTTCACCTCAGCTAACGGTTCACCGGCGATGGAAAGGGTTGGTAGCGGTGGTGGTGTTTTTAGGAAGCACACGTGCATGACTTTGCACTTTTTTGGGTGTAACTGCATGTTTCTTGATGTTGCCCATTCGTCGAGGTGGTCAAGGTCAGTTTGTATGGTAGACGCGTCCCCGATCATCCTGCTCTCAGCTAAGTTAAAGTCATCAACAAATTTCCATCGCTTAGCTGAGGCGTACTCACATGCGCTGTTTAATAAGGCGAGGAAAATCAGGGGTCCAAGGACGGTTCCTTGTGGTAGCCCGCAGCTGGTCTCCCTCCAGTCCGAGTAAGTTCCCTTGTATGACACTCTCTGCTTTCTGGCGGTGAGAAAGGAACGTAACCATCGAGCTAATGAGCTTCTTAGACCCAACTCGAGTAGGCTTGAGACGGCTAAAGTATGATTGACCCGGTCAAATGCTTTAGCGAAGTCAGTTGTGACCAATGTTGTGATTGTTCCTCTCTTGTCTGCGGTCTTGGCCAGTTTGTTAACTATGTCTACGAGACAATGTGTTGTTGAACGTTCGGGAAGACATCCAAACTGGTTTGGGTCAATCATGGGTTTGATGTCGGTATATAGTTGTGATGAAATAAAGGTTTCAGCAACCTTGGCTAGAGTAGGTGTCAGGGATATTGGCCTTAGGTCATTGATGGACGGCGGGCGCGTTTTGGGTAAAGGTACAATGTTTGCCTGCTTCCACTGTTCCGGGACAACCCCCTCACATAGTGTGGCGTTCAGAATGGATGTTAATGGGGTTGAGATTTCGTAGGCAAAGCACTTGATGATCCTATTGGGGAGTCCATCTGGTCCCGCAGCCTTTCTTACTTTAATGCGTTGTAGCCTATCGTACACTTGCCATGGTTGTATCTCGTCTACAGGTCTTGACGGGAGATATGAAGGCAGACTGGTTGTGTCCAGAGGGTCTAATGAGCACGTGATGGTGCACAGAGCGTCGTTTACTGCATTGGCGATGGCCTTCTTGTCCTCAGGTGGCGTTCCATCGACGTGGAGAGTGAGTCCAGCTCCCTGCGTGTTAGTCATGGCCTTGATCTGGTGATACCATTTTGAGGGGTTTTCTTTTTTCATATTGTTCACTTTGTTTTTGTAGAAGTTTTCCTTTGCCTTTTTGATTTCTTGTTGTACCTTGTTACGGAGTGACTTGTACTTGTCGTGATCTCGTGCTTTAAAAGCTTGTTGTCGATGTTGGATGAGGGTCTTAATTCTCGGACTTATCCAAGGTTTGTCGCTGGTATGAAGTTTGATAGTTTTTAGGGGAAAGTACTGGTCGATCTTGTCGTGTATTGTCTGGTAGAAGGCGTCTGTCTTTGCCTGAGCACTAATGGCTGATAAGACTTCAGTCCAGTCGTGACGTACCAACCATTGGCCGAATAATCTGATGCTCGAATCAGGCATAGGTCTCGCTATTTTGGTCCTTTTTCTGTCCACGTTACCTTGGACTTTAGGCTGTAGGCTGAGGATGGCGTGGTCACTTGAGCCTAGTGGTGGTAGCAAGGAGGGTCGGAGGTACATGTGCCCAAGGTTAGTGATAACCAAGTCCAAAGTGGCGTCCAATCGTGTAGGTACATCCACAACTTGCTGAAGCTGGTTACCGCGACAGAGATCTTGGACGTCAGCACGATTAAAATCCCCGGCAATGCAAATTCCCACATTAGGAGTGTCGGATCGTATTTGGTCAACTACAGTGCACAGGTGATCGATCATAGCGTTACTGTGTGGAGATGCTGGAGGAATATATACTGCACATACCACGGTGTTAGGCACTTGTCTGGGAAGGCGAGCAGGACGGGTCTTGACCCACAGGCACTCGAGATCATCAGGGACGGTGGCGTCGATAACACTGGCATGAATGCTATGGCGCACGTAGACTGCGACTCCTCCCCCATTTCTGCCGCTGCGTGGTTTCGAAAAGAGGTGAAAGTTATCGATGTCCCACTGTGCGTCAGGTAATTCCGAATCGAACCATGTCTCGGAAACAATGGCAATGTGGACGTTCTTTGTGTGTAAGATCACTTGGAATTCATCCATCTTATTTCGCAGTGAGCGGGCATTACATATCAGAATGTTCGGCATGGGGAAGGGCTTGATATGATTACCGCCACTTACCGCGGCCGCGTCCAATGGTGGATCATCCTTCCTGATTGCGTTGACATTAATCAGATACCGATGATGCCTTGATTTGCATGTGAAGCCTGTATCAGGCTGTTGACGTGGAAAACGATGGCTTACAATTGTGGAAATCTTACGTGGAAAATGTCTCCCCGCCTTTGTCCCCCGTGGTCTGCTTCGCATCTTGAGGATCCCATTCATGAGCAGTCTACGATCTTCAAGGTCACACACCATGACGGCAGTAGGTTCGTTACATGTTACATATCCACTATAAAACGGGGCATAAATATACAGTCCCGAAATCTGTTAATATGATGTCTAAAATTTTCAGCAATCGTTGTGATCACCGTGCGTAATATACATTATATATTTCCCCCGAGGGGTTGGAATATAAGATGCCTTACGTCAATGATGGTTAGACATCCAGGTAATACGATAGGCCCAAAAGCAGTTACTCAAGCAACTGGATATGGTTTTGGAAACATAAGATACCTTGTTTTTACTTTTTACTGAACAGGAAGGTGCGCTAATCCTTTGGACACTCGAAGTGATCGCTTAAGCATCAGTATGGCAGAAGGAGACAGCCGTCCGTCGGTAGAGGATCGTACGAATCATATTCTAGCCGTTAGCTCGTCATCTCGTGATCTCCAGACAGTGTATCTGGTCATCGCCCTAGTGGTGTCAGTGGGGTGCGGTCTGCTTCTGATCTTCTTGGTTTGGAAGAAAGAGTATCTGCAGAAGCCCAGCCACTACCTACGGTGTAACCTGGCGGTAGACGACATCATCTTCACCGGCGGACTGATCCCCATCCAGATCTACAGACTTTTTCAGCAAGACGTCGAGAGCGAACAGCTACTGTGTTCGGCAAAAGCATTGCTGTTGGCCGCATGTCTGGTTTCTATGCTGGGTACGTACCTTATGATGGCGATAGACTTGTACTATTGCATCTGCCATCCCCTACACTACCATGGCAAAGTCACAACAAAACGTGTGATGTGTGGCATTTTGGCGAGTAGAGTCATTTCCCTGATCTTGGGACTAGGACCTGTGGTGTTCAGCGGACTGCCTAATCTTAATGCCAACCTACAGTGTGAGCTAGAACCGACAAACAGTGCCAGCGTAGCCGCCATCCTCAGAACCATCGTTCTGTTTGTTGCCATCCTTATTGGTTTTACCATCCTCATACTCTACTACTTCGTCCTCAAGGAAGCCAGAAAACAACAGGCAATATATGAGAATCGCAACATGTGGATATTCCAGACCAAGGCATTCCGAAAAATGGCCCCGCATGCTATTATTTTGGCTGTGTCCGGTGCCACGAGCTTCTTTCAGGTCGCTATGGTACGAAATGTGATCAGTATGGAGGAAAAGGCATCACCTGCCATGATTGTCACTGAACGCGTGGCCACCCTGCTGCAGTTTACCCTGTCATCAATGGCTAACCCTATCATCTACAGCTTTCGCCTTCCAGAGTTTCGCAAAGCCTGTAAAGAACTGTGTGGGTTGCCAACCAGCGTACGACGACAGCAGGACATAAACACGACCGTTTATTCTCTCGCCCAAGCTTCAAGCGGTTCTGTCACAAGCTTAGAGATGGAGAACGGCACACTCCCCGACAAAATCACAACACAGGCAGACATTGAAATCAAGCAAGCTCCCAGTTGTACGTACGGGCGACCGAAACAGAACGCTATACGGACCAAGTTACGTGCTGCACCCACGCATGTTCCTGAATGCAGCGGTGATGCCGTGGCTGAAACCATTCCTGGTCAGACCAACTCGGAGGCCGAGCCAGTACACCTCTCGACTTTGATTTCTATCGTCTAGTATTGTGTGAACGATGTCGTTTTGTAGCGCTTACTTCTCAACATGACTCAGACAGAAGATCGACTAATGAAAACTTAATTAAGAGAAGGGACTGGAACTGGAATGAGCAGTCAGAGTTGAAATACTAACCTGGTGAAACAAAACCATCGAAAGGGCACAGGAAATTTAGAAAGAGACTTTGTACATGGATGACTGCGTTTCACACAAGAAACGGTCGACGTACTTTGACAATACTGTACTGTTTTTGCTGTTGCAAGTAAAAAAATACAGTAAAATAGAGATAGAAACATGTGCAATATTTCCATTTTTATTTGCACCGACAGAGGCCATATATATTTGCACATGAAAAATAATTTCGGTTGTGCAAGGAAGGGAAACCGAGGTTTACCGGGTGTATTTTCTTTCCAACAGAAATGAATATGAAGATCACGTAATTATAAAGAAAACTCCATCTAAATCCCAGGACAATCTCTGGGTGCGAGTAGATCGCAGACTATTAGGACTACCTAATAATACCTAGTTCATCCGCTCTGCAAATATAAACCCCTGCTCTTCCATCACGCAAAGTAACACAGGAAACCACTTACAGAGATGTATTAGAGATTTTAGAACATAAAATCTCTAATTATTTTACGTGCAAACAAGGGATAAACTGCTCGGGGTAATCTGTCGCCACTGTAGCGTACAAAATTTTAATAACAACATACTTTAATACTGCGTATCAAATTATTAATAAATTACAACCATTTGACATAGAACAGCCTTTATACAAAACTGCGGGTAATTAAGTACACACTAATTTCACCTTATAAAAAAGGCAGGCATTTCTCCACAGCAAAGACTGCTAATATTGTGATCTTGGTGTTTCTGTTCTTAATCTAAACATCTGGTAAACGTATCATGATTATAGAATGGTATTTCATTTTAATATTCACTTTGAAAATAGAATAACAAGAATTGAGGACGAGGGTTACCTTGTTGTTCAATGTTTATTGAATTAAATACCATCTATAATTCTAATACAAGACAAGTTTGCGTGATTTAGACATTAAATTAAGAAAAAAAAAACATCCGTATTGCCTGTAAAACTAGACAATCCATGTACTATTGCCTACATCTTTTAATACACCTATTACGTTGATACACGTGACAGCTTTGCACCAATCATGTTGTCGGTTTGCTTGCTTACTTGCTTGCTTATTTGTGTAAGGATAAGATTGGTACACGTGACGAATTTGCACCATGCAATGATGTGTCAGTTTACAGACCTATATTTGCATAAGAATAGGCGTCGGTACACGTGACAGCTTAGTACCAATCATGACATCGTTTCAAGAATAACATTTGCATAAGGATCGTGATTTGGTACACGTTACAGCTCGTCACCCATCAGAGCGTTGTTTAGTAGAATTTGAACGTTTGGCGGAACCACTGTGCAGGAACATACTGTTTTAGCGGGGGAACACAGCCGGCAGGCACCCACAGCAGGCAGCAATGAAGTAGGTTGTTCGCTTATCATATTTATATCTCTGAGACAAAAATGCGATGATAGAAAATGTTTTTTTTTTGTAGGCTGGTTCCAATGCACTATCGGCGGGCAGGAGCTTTGATACTGAGTTCCAAAAACCCTTTCGCGAAACCTTGCTGGTTTGTTAGTACATTATCCTCGGGTGAAACTCCTAAGGAAGGTTCAGGTGTGGGCCCAAAACGTAAGTCCGGAGTGTCACCGAACGGTTTCTAACCTGAGACCGAGAGGGGGTGTGGGCGCGCCCCAGAACTTCCCCATATCCTTCCCCGTCCCCCACCCCTCCCCTCTATTCTCTTGCCTATGCCCATCCTTCACTCTTCTCTCTCCCCTCTCCCTCTTCCGTGGTCCCCTGGCGTAGGTTGCAAAAGGGCAGAACACACGCTTTATCCTCTACATAAAGGATTCTTAGCCAGGTGGGAATGTCCAGGTGTGTACTAAGAACACGTGGACTGCTCCCGACCAGGTGTCGCCTCTTAAGGACGCGAAATCAGGTCAGGAGCGTCCACGAGTCCTACTTAGAATACAGTAGTACATTATCCCAAGTGACCCCGGTGAAACTCCGAAGGAAGGTTAAGGTATGGGCCCCAATACGTGGTCTCCTCTTCGCTTACACTCTCCCGCTCTTCTGCATTTGATCCTTCTGCCCGCCTCCTGTCTCCTCCCCTTCTTCCCCGAGACTCACCACCTGACTCTACTTTTCCTCCCCTTATTACCCCAATTCTGAATTCTTCCTCTCCTCTCCGAACTCACCGATCTTGTATCCCCATGACGAAACATTCAACATTTGTTTGCGATTCCAATACTTTAATTCGTAAAGTCCACAATACATCCGACAGTAGATATTTTTCTCTAATACCGCTCCTCCTTCCCAATTCTCGCACCCCCCCCCCCTCCCCCTTGCACGCTCGCAAACCCTTCCGTACGACCCCAGGAGCTTGTCAATAAACATTGGGATCGCTTGCTTAGTGCGCAACCCGGCTTGGCCTTGCTCCTCCTGGATGGCTTTTTGTATAGTCCCCGACCCTCTTCGCCACTGCCGGGTTGCCCAAATCTAACCTACTGTCTCAGCTCACTGTTCTTCCGGACTTATAAACAAATAGATCTCAGTTTAGCAATACTTGAGTCAACCGACCCGGCCGCTAACCGATATGGGCAAAGACAATCCTCGTTCTGCACTACACCTGGGCAGGCAGTCCTATGCACCTTCGTTTTCCCCCGGGCGTCCTTTCAGATCAAGAAACTCACCACGTCGTCTGGGGTAGCCGACATCAAATCCCGTGGGCTAGGCACGGCCGCCAGAAAAATTAGTAACTCTATTTCTAACTGACAATTCTGGTGCTCATACTTTGAACTCGGTCGTTGGCTGAACAGGTGTTGCTTGCGGAGTTTGATCCCTTCCCAGTCCACGGACGGTATGCGCCCTGGAAGAGGGTTGTCTAGCTCTCGCTTCGCGTAACCACATCGTTGGCAGAAACGGAAATCCCTGTCGTTTGGATACTGGCACTCTGGACATGCCACCGCGGGTATCCACAACCTGGCGACCGGGAGTAAAGGCTGTGGAAAAGTCGAATGATATACGTTTTGAACTCATCCTTGCTACCGTCAAGACCGTTATTAACCATTGTTCATCACGATTCTTCCCTGCCCCCTCGAAGCATGCATCTGTCTAGCTTGCCTTCCCCCACGCCTACTCACCCTCTCTACCTTCAATAACTTTCTCACGCTTCTAACCCCTTTTCCTTACCACTATCCCTCTAGCTTCTGATAGTCAAACTGAAAGAAAACAGTGATAGAAGCACCGTACGCAATATTGACATTTAATTGCAAAACGCAACAATCGTTACATAATCCTGTCCTCCCCTGGTAGTATCCGCCCGTGTTGAGACTTCTGATATATGCCGGGAACCTTGCCTCTCTTCGTAACTACCGCTACCCCTCGTAGCGCCTTCCATTACTGTCGGAACACTACGCTATAAAATGCCCACAGATTCGAAGGCAAGGATTCTATCGGCACGAAACCCTCCTTAAGCTTCGGTCCCAATTGCACCGGTGCCCGTCGGGTATGTAGCCCCGGCCGGCCCCGGTCGGGCTCAGGAGTCGGGAGAGCATCGGCAGTCATGGTCCCAATTAAAAGTTTCCTTCAGTAGCATTTTGTTAAAAATTTTGTCACCCTATTTGGCGGTATCAGGCAGGTACCCGGCAGGTTCTCTGACGATGTCTTGTACTGACCTACATGTAATGCAGAATTCACGCTTTTGTTGTGATCATTTGATCTATGACGTCATACTTTTTACCCGGGTTTACGAAGTACTCACCTTAATCTGTTCATCTGGTCTGTGACGTAACAAATGTGTCCCGGTGGACTGCCGGCAACCGGAGGGGTACCTTTCGGTGAGGTCACGACGTCTTTTTGTCAACGGGGCCCGGTACGTAGAATTTAAGTAAGAATTAAATTCTTCTCGGGTCCCGGACGGGCCCCAAAATAGCCCGGTAGCCGCAGGGTGTCCCGCGGGGCCACGTAGGGGTCACGCCCGAAAGTGCCACAAAACAGCCCGGGAACTACCCGGAAGGGCCCCTTTCTTTAATTGGGACCGAAGCATTAGACGGGTACCAAATTGTTCCTTTGGTGCCTCTCTTACCTAACAAAACCCTCTCCCTTGCCATTGCATTCACCAGCGGCCACCAGAATTTCGCTGAGACAAATTCCGACACCACAACAGTACACTCATACCTGGACTTATTTACAAATGCTAGCCCCAATCAGGCTGAATGGAGGGAAGACATAACCTCTGAGATCATGAAAACGTTGCCCCTGACCGAGGGGTTGGGCGAAGAAATTCACCCCTGCTGCCCCCGGTGTGGGAAACCAGGAGAAGTACATGCTAGTCTGCGCATTCGACGGAAGGGCCATCCCATCTATGACGTGGGGGCCAAACCTCTGCTCTACTGTCCGCCTTGCCTGGGGAGATGAGAGCTTGGCATCCGCTCGACTAAAACTTCAGGAAGGTGGATCCGCTGGATTCAGAGCCGAACGCACGTGAAACAAATTTAGGGTATTGTTATGTTTGAGTAACAGAAGATGTCCTTGAGCACGTCGAAAATGGACTTAGCCTTCCTCCCTCCCTTTCGCTCTCCACGCGTCGACTAATGTCATACCATCCACATGTGCGTCTATTCGGGCGTTATCTAGCATGTAACCTGCAGGACCCAGAGGAGGGTCAAGGCCTCCTTCGTGGGTATCCCGTAAGACCTCTCGCCCGGGAGCGACGGAAATTATCCTGCGTCGAACACACCGCGGCCTGGTCCCCAGCGCCAGCTACCTTTAGCTGACCGGCATGTCGATATCGTCAATGTACTGAGTATCGGGGGACCCCCAAAAAGCGTATGTAGCCCATTGCCGCTAATCCTTAAGAGTTGTAAATAAAAACTGATCAGCCTTAAAACCAAATGGCAGAGTGTTACAGACAAACCAATATCCCGCCCACTGGAATCCCAAGAGCGTTTTGGATGACGGGTGTATAGACACGTGGTCATAGTCAGACTTATCATCACATTTTGTTTGAAACGTATTCGGCTCTACATACCTCGTCACATCTACCAACCTATCTAAGGTGAACGGGCAGTCCTTTACGAAGAATTTTTAAAAAATAGGTCTAGGCATTCTATTATAACCTTAAATGCCAAAAAGAAGTTACTCAGGCAACTGGATATGTTTTTTTTCCAGTTGCTTGAGTAACTGCTTTTTGGCATATCGTATTACCTGGATGTCTAACCTTCATCGGCATAACCTTAAATTCTATGATAGGAGCCATGAAGGAAACATAAAAGGCTGGATTAATATTTAAACAATAACGGGTACATTCTGGGCAGGGGTACATTCTGCGCTGCTACACCCGTATGATATCATTTCTGCACCAAGGTCATGGATGGTGTGTAAACTTTGAATGTGTTTGTATACCGTAACACGAATTCTGTAAACTTTTTAAATGAAAGCGTTCTTATAACATAAAATAGTATTCATAAAACTTAAAGGACTGAAGTACATGTATTGTTTTTTGGTGCATGGGAAGTGAAGGGGGTGAAGTCTGCCATCTCTGATTGTAATGTTCCTTTTTTTTGCAGGGCATGTCAAGAGAAACACCGACGTGTAAAGCCTATGTCTGTAACAAGTTTGCTATCGTGTGGCGTCGGGTGGTGTAGTGGTTAGAGCATTCGACTATGAACCGGGAGACCCGGGTTCGATTCCGAGTCGTACTCGGGACATGTCTGAACATGCCCCCCGATGTGCCCTTGGGAAAGGCACTTTACACGAATTTCCTCACTCCACCCAGGTGTGAATGGGGTATAGACCCTTGCGACAGTTCCACAAAAATTTGTGGAACAAATATGTGTATCATGTGTCTTGTTTGTTGTGATTTGTCTTGATTATTGTTTGATACCCTGCATCAATTCAGCCGTTAAAGGGTGCGATTGGACGGGTACTGTTTGGACAATAAAAACCATTTATTCGCCCCGTTCACAAATCCCACAATTCCTCGCGCGACGGACAACATCCAGTCTAGTTTCGAACTCTCAAGCTTGCATGGCGGCGGCTTTTGCCGTCAGAAAACAAAAACCCATTTATCAAGGTTCTAGGTGTTGCGTGCCGGGATGTAAAAACCGACAAGGAACAGATACGGTAAAGAGGTCCTACTATAAGTTCCCTCAAGGAGAGGCAAATCGACATTTACGTCGACTGTGGGAGGCCAGCGTAAGGCGAGCGGACTGGGTCCCTAGCAACTACGACAGGATCTGCTCAGATCATTTTGTAGGAGGTGAGTTTAATAGTCAGTACGATAATTCGTATCTGTGTATTTTAACAACTACCCTGCCCCTCACAAATAACGTTTATCTTACGCCGCGTTATGTGATATGATTTGGCTATGACGCCCCCCTCCACCCACCGTCGATCGCGTCGAGTGGTCTGTGGTACGTAAAATTGGTGGATGTGATTTCATTTCAAAAAGAACTCAGACCATGGTAGAATTAAGCAATGCAAATTACGTTCGTAATGAAGTGAAAACTATGTTGTTCAGCGAAGACATACATGTATTATCATTCATTTTTTTTCAATACTGGTTACAAATGGAAATTATGATTACATATGCTGACCTGTGTAAGTGTACATTTTGGAATTTGGTCAAAATTTCAGAGATATTCCACAGAGTATACATGTACATTTTTGTAGTTATCTTTTGAGATAATACAATTTTCTTTTTCCTGTTTTTTTGTTTTAACCTCACAGTTAACTTTGTCTCCAAGGCATATGGAGGGCGTACGAGTGATAAACACATAACCCTAACAAGTGCAGCATTTATTAACCAGCTACCACCAAAGTCTGTAATCATTGCTGACAATGGATTCAATGTTTCTAAAGAACTTCAGAGCAGGGGGGTACAGCTCATTGTACCTGACTATAAGGGTCGTGGTAGGTCACAGTTTTCAGCCCAAGAGGCTGCTAGTTCTGAATGTATCTCTAGTGCACGGATACACATAGAGAGAATCATACAGCGCATTCGTACTTTTCATATTCTTGGCTCTACTATTAAGATTTCTCAACAAGACATAACAGAACAGATCTTCAGTGTCTGTGCCTATTTGATCAATTTCCAGATGCCCATTGTCAACCTTCGTCAGAAACTACATGCAGACACTTCCATTTCTGAGCACACAAACAACACAACAGAAGAGAGCATCTTTGATTTCATTTAGATATACTGAAACTAAGATACAAGTACAATCAGTGAATTTTTAAAGGCAAGTGTTTAAATTGTAACTGCTGCTGTCACCGGCCGGGCTGTGTTTCTGTACTTGCGATGGGTACAGCATGGCTGATACCGTTCTTCTCAGCTGTAGTCTCGTAATGTTGTATTTGATGACTCACTGAAATACATGACAGTAAACAATGACATGATTTAATGACAGGAAGGGTATCATGTTGCTTGTGTATGCACTCTGTAACAACTGTTAGTACTTTTATCACATCTAAGTAATGCTGCACTTGATGCCTTGTTAGAGGGCATGATATTGACAATTGATGTGACATTTATTTATTTATTGATGTGACTTATAGTAACACAAGAATATGATACTTGTGTATGTATTCTGTAACTGTTAGTTACTGTTAGTACTTTTATCACATCTAAGTATTGCTGCACTTGGTGCCTTGTTAGAGGGCATGATATTGACAATTGATGTGACATTTATTTATTTATTGATGTGACTTATAGTAACACAAGAATATGATACTTGTGTATGCATTCTGTTACAACTGTTAGCATTTTGATTGTGTGTTACATTTGTTCATTTCTAGTCTCTTAGTACTACTTAACATTGTTGATATATGAATAAAGTGACAAACATGCATTTACCACATTGTCTGTATCCACCTCCATATCTGAGTCTCTGTCGCTCTTGTCCACAATGTAGGTGGCGTTGGGGTGATTCTGTCGTCTGAACAGTTCAGGTACAAGATGACTCAGGAAGAAGTTGTCCAAATGTTGCTCTAGGTTAGCCCAGAAAATTGGGTCAAAGTCCAGCATGAATCACTTCGATGTCCTTCACAGTGTAGACCACAAAGTCACACTTGGAAACATTTGTGATCGCCATACACCCTTGAACCTGCTCGAGGTAGCCATGGTTGCCTCCTTTCAGTGCCAATGTATTGCCTACTTCTTCTATATACTTGATCTTTGTGTTGCCCCTTATTGCTTCATGGGCTGCGCTGTATGGGCATTTGATCTCCAGGATTCTAGGTGGGCAACAGTCACACAACACTACTCCATCCGGACTAGCCCTCAGGTATGATTTGGTGTTGTGTACAATCAACCCTGTCTCCTTTATGACTAAGTTGGAATGTTTGGTCTTCTCCTTGTTGAAGTAGGCATTTCTGGCAAGTGACTCGTTTGCTACTCCCCATTTGATACTCTTGGCATTTGGTAGTGGAGGAGGCTTTGTAAGGTTCTTGTACTTGTCCCCCATACAATCACTGACTAGTCTACTGGGTGATGCCTTGCCACCGGTCATTAACCTATCTATCCGATGGAACTTTGTTGTGGTTAAAGACCCTGACCGCATGGCGTACCACTTAGCATTCTGATTCTGGCCTCTTGTCATCATTTCCACATCTCTTCTTTCCTTCTGGTCTGTTTTGCAAGAGTTGACGAAATCACTTGTGGTCATGTTTTCGGAGATAGGCGCGTAAGCGAGGGGGGTAGGCTGGGAAACTGCTGTTTCAAAGTTTGCTGGAACCAGGAGGTGCGAATCTGGACCGACACGGGTTGGCAAAACTTTGACGGCTGGGGAGCGTAGCACAGAGGAACCAGATGTGAGAACGCTTGTAGCAACAACATGCTGTTTCATGTGCTGAGTGGCGTTGAACAGCTTCTGACACAGGACTGCTGCCCCTTCCACTCTGTCGCATTCGTCTACCCTCGCAACTTTTTCCCCGTATGTGTCAGATGTTCTCCGAACTTTCTGGGGCTTTTTTCTGAACTCAATCTCCGTGTACAGCTTCGGCTGAACAGCTGCAGCTGAAAAAGGAAAGACGTACTTGTTGGTCTTAGAACTTAACAGTTATAAACATAGATACATAAACTTGGTATCAAATTAGTCGTGGACATCCATCTATTTCTAAAAATAATAAACGTAACATGTCATTGCCATACGTACAATTACTAAATTACCTTTAGGGTCTGTCCACGCGCACAGCTTCTCGGTACATGTTGGGTCGTCCGGCAGCTGGGTATATCCCATGGAAACCAAGTCTGCCAGTTGGAACAATGTGGCCCCCACGTGAGCACAGGACTGATAGAGACTGAAAGTCATAAAGTTATATCAGTACATGTATAGAACGATATAGATAACTTTCCTGCAGAGAGATTAAAACAAATCTTAGTTGTAAAAATTGTCTTTCTTACCCGACTGCACAGGTGCAGTACGCCCCATACGGCTGACCGGTGATTTTATCCAAGATGATGTACAGTGCCTTAACTCTCTCGCTGGCTCCTGACTGTGAAGAGTTGCACTGTGCTTGGACGGCAATGGAAAAGTGTCGGAAGGGTTGACATTGATTTTGATTGAGTGAACAAAGTCCTTCATCTTGAACGGCCTCTGTACTTTGTATTTCACTTCTTGTTCCTTGTTGAAAACTCTGCTATTAAGCAGATACTGTTTCACCATTGCATCATCAATGGGGGGGACATGTTGAAGGTCTTTGCTCCATGCGTCCAACTTTGTTAAGTAGGCGGGGGTGAGGGTGGAGTATTCTCTTAACTGGTTACACGACAGGCCGTGGTTGTCCAGTCTAGGCACGAAATCGTATGGCTTGTTCTTCCCACTTGTTGAAATATCCAGTGCTAGAAATAACAGATTCACCTTTGCAGATTTTGACAATTTTGTATTCACATTGTGTGCTCTGCTTTCTTTGTTCAATCGTTGTATAGAAAGACCTGAAATGTCTGTGTACGTTTTCAACTTGTTTGTCGTTCTCTCCATTTTACCTGAAACAGCCAACAATCAAAGATTACTTGCTTGATTATAACCAAATCGTACACGTTAGGCCACAGCAAGTAAATCTTATGGTTGAAATCCTCCGCAGACTCCAAATCTAATGCGCGCGGGCGAAAGCAAAACAAGGCGGACCCCAAAAAACAAGATTCCTACATTTTAAAATTTTGACATCATAAACCTTGTCAATCACAAAAAAACTTGTGTTAGGTTTACCGCCAGCTATTGCAACATCCATTTCTCACTGAATTCGAAACAACTTTGAAAAGTGAAAGTTTTAAATCATTGTACAAATGGAACATCACATATACACATGCACTGTAACATATAAAAGAACTTATATCACTGCATCAAATTACATGTAATAGATAAACATTAAATTATCTATTGTACACGACGCATTAAAACGTCCCTCCTTTGACACCCTTTTTTCCACACCAAAAAGGCGCTCTTTTCTATGCATTCAGCCTCTATAATTAGACGTTAGAAATGTTTTAAAAAGATTGAACTTACCTGCGAAGAAACATGATCCGCTGTCAGGTGAGAACAGGTAATTTTTTTAAATCTGTAACGAATAGGATCTGGAACGGAATTTAGAGCAGAACCTAGAACATGTGTTCTATTGTTCTGATTATCGCTCTTTGGCGTCTTGTACATATCTATCTTAATAGTCTATAAAAATGATATAGAGACACAAAATATCTTTTATGGTAATGGTTGCCAAGGGTAAAATGGTTGCCTAGCTACGGTTACTATGTAAATGAACGTTTATAGTATAACTATATACATACAAAAAGTATACAATGTCATGTTGATGATGAAGATAAGTTTCGGACCTCCACACCAATTTTCATGTCATTTGAAATCGGAATTAAGACGTCTTACCCAGAAACTACTTTTATGATAATAGCTATTAAATGTTACCAAGAACAGCATAAGACGAAACAAAAAAGATAACTCTGAATTTCAGAAAGTTTTATTTGAGGCAGGCATAATTCCACGATCTAAACCACGTCTTCTTCACGGCGCTTGGTGTGATTGTGTGAGCGGTTACAGGCGGCCTTTACCCATTTGGTGGCGAGACCGCCCCATTCAATTGTGACGGGGTTGGCGGGCGCCAAACCGGATGTTGTCCGTCGCGCAAGGAATTGTGGGTATGTGAATGGGGCGAATGTCAAAAAAAGCCCGGTCTAGGTAGGGTTAACGTCTTCGAATATACCGTGGAAGCAGTGATTTGGTACAAGGATGTGTGTGACGCCATCAGAGTCCCGTTAAAGCTAAGGTCCCAATTACGCCGGTGCCCGTCGGGGATGTAGCCCCGGCTGGCCCCGGCCGGGTTCAGGAGTCGAGCGGGCATCGGCTGTCGTGGTCACAATTAAAAGTTTCCTTCAGTAGCATTTTGTTAGAAATTATGTCACCCTCTTTGGTCGGTATCCGACAGGCACCCGGCAGGTACCCAGCAGATTCTCTGACGATGTCTTGTATTGACCTATACGTAATGCAGAATTCACGTATTTGTTGTTATCATTTAATCTGTGAGGTCACACATTTTACCCGGGTTTACGAAGTACACACCTTTATTCTGTTCATCTGGTCTGTGACGTAAGAAATGTGTCCCGGTGGAATGCCGGCAACCGGAGGGGTACCTCTCGGTGTTCTCACGATGAGGTCACGGCGTCTTTTTGTCAGCGGGGCCCGGGTAGAATTTAACTCAGAATTAAATTCTTATCGGGGCCCCGACGGGCCAAAAAATAGCCCGGTAGCCGCAGGGTGCCCCGCGGGGCCACGTCGGGGTCCCGTCCGAAAGTAGTAAAAAACAGCCCGGGAACTACCCGCCAGGGCCCCTTTTCCCAATTGGGACCTTAGCTTAACAGGAGGTCCTCTATTCCGGAACACTAAGGGGAATGTTGTCTTAGAGGAGGCATTTCCCGCCAAGGCGGCCGGCGCCCGTCTCCGGTGGTATTTAGATAAGTTAGGGATTAACTAGAAAGGCCGACATTTGCTTGGGAGCAAATACAGCATATTTCGGTCCATCTCCCTCCCACGCAGAAGTGGACTATTCCAAACTTACCCCAGTGCAAAACTGGCAAAGGTTCTCAAATAAATGAATTAAATAGTAGCTATATGAGAACAAAGATGCAACAACAAGTACTTTGAATCTCGAAAGCTTTACTAATCTTATTAACGGAGGGGGCCCTAAATTCGCCACTGTACCCTAAATTCGCCACTTTGTGTTTCCTTTATTTTTTACGTGGAAAGGTAGAATGTTAGGGCTACTTCAATGATACTTCGAAACTAGGACAACCAAAGATTAATATGCATCTAGTATTCTGTTCAGGTCTAGTCAAGCGGAGATCTGCGTAACAACAACGGGGAGAGAGGACGCACGGCATGAGCACCACGTTTGGGTCGCGTGGCTGGCGACAGCGACCGTCTTCTATTCTCTGATTGTTTTAAATCGAAAAAATGGTTCTGGAAACTAGATATTATATGAAAAAAAAAGATAACAAGAAACTGCAAAATAAAGATGGATGGGAAAGTCTCCCGTCTTGTGCATGTTTGAACCAGTTATTTCGGTAATGTTGTGGAAGTTTTTTGGCGTCGAACGCCTGACTTATCGATCGAACGTGCTCTCATTTCGGGTGGTTCGAATTTCCGAAGTTGAAGAATGGAGACATGAAAAGGTAAGATCTCGTTACATTATCTATAAATAGTCTGACAAATCGAGTCTATAGACACAAGAGAATGATATGTAGGATATAATATCCATAGAGTTACATTTCATGAGAGAAACCTCTCCTTTTACCGCCGCTGCCGTATTATCGGTGCGGCTGCTCTCTCCCCTAAACTTGTTTGTAAACTTCTCATAGTCCAATGTGTTCAGCTACGTGGCTACCGGCTGAGTTTGGGAGGTCTTACATCGTGGTAAACAATATTAAACCTTTGTTACCGTAAATGTCCGAATAAAGTACGCACTTTTAAAAACTTTTCAAAATACAAAAAGTGTCTCAGGCCGCCGCCAAAGTCGGGGTGCTTACCTTATTTGAGGTTTTCCCCGACAGATCCAACGACTACCGACGAATATAGCGAAAACCGGCAAGGAGAATTGAAGCGCACGACATCGATTCGTACATAACATGTCGGATGATAATGTTGACGAGTGGAAATAAAAGTTCAACTTTAATAAAGGAACGTATTCCATTTGTGTATCATCGATATTGACACGAAATTGCGGCAAAACGAGAAGACGCACGGTAAGATAATCTAGGTCACTCACGTCGCGGTGTTCGGTCATGCTGACGGGACGGTCGCCAGCCAGCCGCCGATCTCAGTTGAACCCCGGCCGAAAAGAAATACCCCCGTAATTATTAACGCAATTCTAAGAGGGTTATGAGTGGTAAGATTTAAAATGGTCCGCAAGCCGTGATTGTTCTTGATCGTCGTAACGTAGTGAATAACGTTATAACATGACAGTTGTGCTTCACCTGATGGTCAGTTCTAATGCACTTTCGGCTCTAGTGAAACACAGAAATATTCAACAAATGTTATATCCAAGCCGTTACAAAGGTTCAAATGACAGAAATCTTTTCACTTCGTATCACAAATGTCTTTAAATATTAATAGATGCTGCAGAAAATTATTTTGTAGCGGGACTATACCAGCCAGTACTACGTTAAAATGCTGGGTAGGTGTACACGACATGGCCCTACAATGATAGGGTTTTTCGGGCGAAGTCTTTGAAATCTTTTGCTGCCCGCCGGTGGGTGGGGCCCATGTGCGTGCTGCTGTGGGCGTGACGCCGCTTTGTCTGACCAGGACGTGCCGTCGTCTTGGCAACGCAACGTGGGAAGCCAGCGGCCAGAAGCTTTTCATGCTGGGAAGTTTTTATTCCTTTGATTTTGTGACATGAGCAGTAGTTTACTAAACGAGATATTTTAAAGAACTTTTTCGCTCTCTCCGTTCAGAATTGCACGTCCCGGCAGCCCTTCGTTGTTGTTTTGGTTTCGGTGTCAAATTTTAAATACGCTAGCACATAAATTCTCCGACCATTCCCACTTCTCCGCCTCGATCATTTGTTGCTCACCGATGGGCGGTCAATCAGCGCTGATGTGGTTTAGAACGTGGCGAGCGGCGCCGCGGCACCGGCAAGAACAGTCCCCTTACGTCGGCGGAAACTTACCCACGTCTCTCGTTCCGATGCGCCGCAAAGTACTTCATTTAAAACCGCAAAAAAAAGAATCACATTAACTCGGAGACTAAAATTAAAAGCCTGGAAAGAAGTTTTATTCAACATCTTGGGCGCTTTCAGTCCTTTTATAAAAGTGGCGAATTTAGGGTACACCTACACAAATATACACAATATTACGTCGCGTCATAACCGACATGACCTTTGCCCTTGATATTCGATCAATCACCATGGTAACACGTATGTAAAAAGTCAAACAACAACTCTTATGATATAACGGCAAAACGCGTCTTGGCTCTTAAAATTGGCCTT